ATGGATGGATACCTTTTATAAGATTCTGTTTGTTTTTCATAATGTGGAGATGGATTAGTAAATACTAATTAATTAGAAGAATGTGATAACCCTAATGAAAAAGGATGCATTAACTGTTAAATAGTTCCTGCTTATATATGTTATGGACCAACCTTCTCTATTTGTTTAACATGCGATTAACATTGTGAATAATGCTCAAATATAAATGATAATCTTATTTGTGAAAAATGTTAGGCTGGATACTATCATATTGGTAAAAATTGTGAATTATGTGATTCAAATTGCATAACATGTTAAAATTCAGCATTTCTTTGTACATCTTGTTATAGAAACGATTGTGATTTTTGTGAATCTTATTAAGGATTATATACTGATACAGAAATAAAGGCTTGTGTATCCAAATGTGGTGATGGTATATTAATTACAGAATCTGAATAGTGTGATGATGGGAATTAAGAGGATGAGGATGGCTGTGATTCTACTTGTCATTTAGAAGGATAAATAATAGATTATTCAAATTTATAAAACATCAAATATTCTGGTCTTCATTCAATTGATTTTTTGATGGGGAATGAAGAACAAAAATTTTAATTAGATTGTCAAACTGTAGTGATTAATATAGATTCTTATGATTCAAAATAATTTGAATTTATTTCAACAGATTAAAATGGTAATTGTAGAATTTAATTTAAATTCTATTAATCTATTTATAAATACAATAAAATTCATGTTAGATTTACATTTTATGAATCTAAATAAAGGTTGTTATTAATGATATCAGAAAATACCATTTAATTTGATATTGAACCAGAAGAATTTATTATAAAATCTGAAAATCAATTAAATTAAGCTGATACAATATCTTCTGCATAATAATCATTTGGATTAATTTTCTTAATTTTGATTCCTATTTCAATTATTACTAATTTATTTGATTATTTATGGGCTATTTTAGAAATTTTGAGTTGGATTAATAACTTTTATTTTTTAAATGTTCGTTATCCATTTAATGTAGAAATATTCTTCTTAAATTCAGATTGGACTTCTATATTTAACTTTCCAACATACCAAGAATTAAATTAACCTGATTGCGATTATTATTTTAAAGCCCCTGAAAGATTTGAAACTAAAGGTATTAATCCTTTATTTTTCAATAATGCATAAATACCTTTCATGTTTATATTTTCCTCAATTTCAATCTATGTGATAATAAAATACCTTTATATACTACTATAATTTATACAATAGAATTTAAGAAAAAAAACAAATATCAGGGAAAAACACTTTAGTATTTTTAATTTGGAAGGTAAATAATATAATGAAAAAAATAAAACATAACAAAATAAATAAAAAGTTGATATTAAAGATCATAAATTATTTGACTCTTTCATAATACTACTGAATTCAGTTTAAAAAGAACTTAAAAAAAAAATAAAATAAACTATTTCATTATGCTTATTAGACATAACTCTAGCAATTATGTTATAATTAATATATGCTGAAAATTTAGATAATGTCATAGTTGGTATTAATTAATTATTTGCATTGCTTTCTATTAGTTTAATTATATTTCATTTGCATTAGTCATATTAAACTGTAAACATCCATAAATAATTAGCAGAAAATTAATTCTTCAAAGAAAGATATGAAATTTACTATGAAAATGTTAATACAAATTCAGCTTTTGGATCTAAATATAAATTTTTTGGATTATTAAGAAAAATCTTTTATATATTCTTTATGATTTTTTATTACAATTAACCATTATAGCAAACGTTGTTATGTTTTATTACAAGTAATTTTGGACTTGCTTTGATTATATATGAGAACCCCTACAAAACAAAAGCATAATTTATATTATAATTTATTTCAGATTTGAGTTTAAGTTCAATAATATTAATTATTGTATTATTTGCTTTTAATGATTAAAGATAAGTATATTTTATTGAAAATAATAAAGTTATTTTTGGATGGATTATTATTGCTCTAGTAGTTTTAGCTTTATTTGTAGAAATTAGTGTACTGTTTTATTAATTAACATTATCTTTCTATTCAATTTTTAAATTATTGAGAGGATTTATTATGAAATTTATTAAGAAATAGAAAGATAATCCATAAGATATAGAGAATGAAATTTAAGTTGAAAATAAAGAATCAGAATCACAATAGAATAATTAATTAATTGTATTTTAAATATAGTCTTAAGTGTTATAGAAGATATCTAGCTAAATGAATTAAACTATTCAAGTTACCTTAAATAAATGAATAAAATTTGATTTATTTAACTTATTAAACTATTTTCATTAATTAATTAGATTTTTGTCATAAAAATCTGAATAATAATATTAAAGTTAAATAATAGATCTAAATATATTATTAAATGAATTTGTATAAAATAGTTTCTCATATGGATCAGATTTAATGTATTCTTAAGTTTATTTAACTATTATAATATATAATTTAATTAATCATCTTATTAAATTATAATAATAATATAATTTATTTAATTAAAGAATGGCAACATTTTAAGAGAGGTTTAAGGGAAAAACATCGGTGATGGGTAGAAATGGATTAGAATCAGTATTGAATACATGTCAATAGCCTATCAAGAAAGAACTTGATTGTATGATTATCAAATAATCAAGATCAAAATAAACCACCACCTATGTATTAGCCTCTCTAACAACAAACAAATATTTAAATATCTCCTATAAAAATTTAATACAACAAATAGACAAACAATTAAACTCTATATTAACATAATCCATATATTGGGGAACAATAAATATTAGACTCTCTTTAATACTTAAGCTAATAATAATACTTTTAGCCTATTGCAAATTATCAAGTATCAACAGAACCATAAAAAAAAGAGGATAATAGATCAAAATCAGCAAAATAATAATTAGATTCAGCAGATGAATCATAACGCTATAAACCATATACAATAAAGGATTATGAAATTATGAAGAAGACTGCAAATGCAAAATTAGGAGGCTTAGGTCCTAATTTAAGTGGAGAAGAATGGGCAAAAGACAAAGAAAAAGTATTAAAACGTTAAGAATTTGCAGAATAAGTAAGATAATTTAATTCTACAAATATAATAACTACAAGAATAAAAGAGCCTAAATAATCTGAACCTAATGCAAGGTAATAATAATATATTATTTAGAACTAAAGCAATGGATTTTGCAAGAAATATTCCAAAACCATAACCAAGAAAAAAGGAAGATTAAGTAGTGAAAAATACTCCAAATAAGACTTCGGATAATACTAATAATATAAGTAGAGATCCTTTTGATGATGAAATTGCTCGTCTTGAGAGAGAACACTTAAAATATTTGAATTAATTAGATAAAATGAAATGAATATTATTTTATATAGAAATAACTAATCAATCTTGAAGAATTAGAATCAATAAAAATCTTTTAGAGACTTGAAAAATTAAATAGAAACAAAAACACAAATAGATCAAAAATCTAGACTTACATAATAATAATACATATATAATGCATAAAATTATTATGATCAGAGAATTCAATTTGAAAATAGATAGCAAAATTTTAAGATTTAAGTATTAAATAAAGTGTTCAATATTTTTATTGGTCTAATAATATCAAATCTTAAAAGAATCTATAAGCATTAATTACTTGTCTCTAAACCAAAATTAGCAACTTTTTAAAGATATGATTATTCATAAAAGATGCTGTAAAAGAATATAGTGGGATTGATTTTGTATCCATAGTCTAATATATTATATCATTTTATATGAAGATTTGAAAAGAGATAGATTAATAATATTTTACAATGTTGCTCGAACAGCCCTAAAGGAATGAATGAAACTTTATGATTAATCTTCGAACAACACTACCATCAATCTAATCTTAATCTTTTGCCCAAAGACTTTGAGTCTATAATAGGATTGAATATTAGATCATGCTGTTGAACTTTTAATTCATTAAAGTGATGATATATATTTAAAAAGATTTTTGATAATTACAAAAATAACTCTTAATTATTTGATCTCTTTTCAAATTCTTTAGCATTAAGTTTAATTGAAACTTTAATATTAACATTAGAATCTGATTTCCTTTAAATTTGATGTTTATACTTCTTTCAGTAATATTTTGATTATGAATTGGGAATTTAGCTTAAGGATACTGGATTTACAGATTGTTTAGGATAGAAGAGATAATAGATTTGCCATCAACTCCATTAAATAAGACTAATTGAAGTGATTAGATATCAATATTAAATTAATTTTCTTAAAAATGGAATAGTAAAACCAGTCAAACGAAAAATCTCAAATCATTGAGATCTTATAAGTATTATTATATCATCTACAGGAACCAATATCGATTGCCTCCTCTAATGACTGTATTGAAATGAAACCATAAGAATATAAAGGTTATAATTTTACTATTTAGTGAGCATTCTAAAACATAAATTAAGAAAAAAGTAGCACAATTATTCGCTAACAAAAATTTTATTTGGATTTCGATTTGATTTATAAAAAGCTACATGTTTAACCTGTAAATAAGTAGGCCATGTCAATTGTTGTCAGATTAATTTCCAATTTGATGATATTTATAAAAAATGAATGAACTTTTAAACTTATTTTATTATTTAAATGTACTTTCCTCTTATTTTTATTATTTAGTATTAGCTTGTTTTATTATTATTTATGACATTTTTTAAAGTCTTCAAATTTTATCAAATATTATTTTTGTAAAGAATTTAGTATAAATTCTCAAGAGATTTCTAAAACAATTATTTATATGTAAGTCTAAAAATCTGTACTAATGCTACATAATTATTAGAGACGTATGATTAATGATTTACTTTTCTAAACAAAAACTCAAAGAAAAAGTAGAAGAAAATATATATAGGAAAGAAATTTTAAAAATAAATTTGATAAATATGGATTATCTAATTGAAATATTAATTTAAAGATTTACTAATAAAATCATATGAATACAAATGTAAATCAAAAAGTGGATTCACATTTGTACAAATTTAGACTTTTAAAAATGAACCTTTTTCTTTTGTCTTTGTTAAACAGATTTTTAACTTATGGTTTTTAAAGAATGAGGTTGTCTAAGGATTCCTTTTTTATGTACTTCTGTATTATTTATTGAGAAATCTAAACTATTTCTTTATGTATTTTAAGATTCTGTTCTTCTATGGGAACATTCCAAAAAGGACCCACTAGAATCAGATGGCTATTCTTCATCAATATTCTCTTTAGATTATTAAACTAAAACTTTAGAAATTTCCTGTTTAGTAGGGCAATGAGTATAGAGTTTGGCATTGTATTATAAAGGATAAGCTTTAATGTCAAAGTGATTTAATATTATTTGAGGAGATTATTCTATAAATTATTGATTTAAAGAGCAAGCAGTTCCCATTTAGAGCTTATTATTTTAAATAAATATATAAAAAATAGAAAAAAACCTTGTGTTAATATTTTTAGTTAAATTAAAATGATTTTTATTAAAATCAATTGAAATGTTGTTATAGAATATCCTTTCCAATAATTTTTACTTCACATAATGACATTTAAGTTGTTTGATATTTGGATATTTATTAAATAGAAATTTAAGGAATGTAATAATTATAAATATTGAAAAAATAATAAATATATACATATTCATAGCCGAAATTATAAACACTAAAATTAGAGTAGACTAACTTAAATAAATGATATGATTTTTAATTGAAAGATTAATTATCATAACAAAAAAGATAATTTTCCTTTGATTATTTAATATGATTAATATCAATGATGATGATGTTGATCTTCAACTTATCCATGTCTTCTAGCAACAACTTATCTAGTCTCAGCCTCAACTCTTTCTATATATGTTTTGCCTTCCAAATTCATGAGTTGGATGTGTTTATTTTATTCTTCATAAGTTTCCAATAATTCAGTTGCAAAACTCTTTTCCCCAGGAATCATTCTTTACATACCCATATCACCTGTAATACCTATTATAATAGAATTAAATAGAGTCCTTACTTAATTCTAAGAAATGCTTAACTAAGAAGGGTCTCTCCTATTACACCTTTCTTGAATAGTTAACGATTGGGTTTTTTAAATAATCTGGTTGGATGTTCCAAAATCTGGCTTCATAGAATATTTCATATGTGAAAATAGCTGCCACAAAAGCTGCAATAATATATTTAGAATCAAGTATCAAATATTTAATGGCATTCTAAGTTGAATGTAAATATCCCTCATCTAAAAGATCAAATTAATTAATTACTCTAATTGATAAAGTATTCAGGCATCACACCACAATAAAACCATAAATTTGTATCAAAAACATCCATCTATAAAAATGATTAAATTAATAAATACCCTTCTTTTATGTTAATATGCAATTGTTAAAGGTACATCTGGTCTATCCCATCCATGACCACCTCTAATTGCCATACTTCTTTAGGCACTCCTTCTTAATATCACACTCAACATTTTGATAAATAATTTAATATATAATATTTTTTTTGCAAGAACTCAATAAAAATAAAATACAATATGCATTACCTTATAAAAAAAAAAAAATAAAACAATAACTCAATAGTCAATTTATCTTTATGGTATGTCATTGAAAATTAGTATGTGTTATCCTATAGGCTTGCCACGTCTATATTCTCCTTAAACTACCAAATCTAGGCCTGTTTAATGATGATGTATTGCTTTAACATCTTTACCATGTTAAAAATCATTTAAAAATTATCCTTCATAAGTAATTGTTTTCTTCCCTTACTTTTTTAAAGTATATCTTCCTTAACCTTCTCTTTTATTTTTTTTCCAATCTCCTTCATACTCAGAAGAATCTGAATATGTTTTCTTTCCTTTTCCATGGATATATCCCAATATAAAGTCTCCTTCATAACTTTCATAATCATTAAAATGATATCCTCCACAGAATCCTATTTTTTATGGTTAATACCATCTCAATTTTGCCTTACCATGTTTAACTTAATGTTATTAATTATAATACCCAACATATTAAGTCAACTAACCTTAATCATTCATCTCTAATACTTATCCCCAGTAAAATTTACCTTACTTAAAAACTCCTTTATATATGGATGAAACTCCATTCTTTCTTAATATTCCTATTCCATCAGGTTAATCATTAAGAGTTTCTCCTTTATATTTTGAACCTTAAAAATCATAAAATTTTGGAATTCTTTTTGTGACGTATTCTTAATACTTTTAACAGTCATTAGGAAGTAAATCAGTAAGTTAATAGTTTACTGAAGTTAATTAAAATTCTCTTATATATTAATTTAATGATAGAAGATCACCATCAACTTCATCTCCTAATTTTTTCATGACATTCAAATATGCATCTTAAAAATTTTGGTTGATAGATGGCTTATTATTATTATTATTATTCTCTGGTTTGAGCTTTTTATCTTCAATCCTTTTATCCCCTGGTTTAATTTTTTTAATATCTTTATTTATTATATCAATCTATTCTTAAATAGCTTATTTTTATCTTTATTAAACTTTATTTAATAATGTTTCTAAGGCTTCTTTGTATTTCTATTTTTTTTCATCATCTAATTATTTTAAGTTAATATTTGGTAATAATTTATCAAAAGAAGGATTTTCCAAAAATTCTATTAATTTTTCTTAAATTTCTTCATCTTATTTTTTTTACTCAATTTATTTAAGCCTCTTTTCAACTTCAGCTTACTAAGTTAATATTTTATTACCTTATCTTTTCTCTTTTGGCATAATTTCTAGTAAATTTTTATAAATTTTTAGTTCCTCTTTATTAAGTAAATCAATTTATTGTTTTTATAATAGATTTTGGAAATTAGGATTTTCTATGAATCGATTTAAATTCTTTTTTGCTTCTATAAGTTTTTCTATTTCAGCTAGAAGAATTTTGTTACTCTAAAGTCCTACCTTTCCTTATTCTAATTATACTGGATTTAATATATTTAGTAAATGAAGATTTTTTTCAATTTAGTTATTCTAAATAAGTTGACATGCCTATTAGTTTTAAATAATGGATTCTACACCATCATTTACATCTTTAAATAATATTAGCTATTCTTTTTCATTCTGTAAAAGTACATCATTTATGAATTATGGTATTTGTTATTGTTTTTCAAATTCTAAATCCAAAATTTCTTTTGGATCAGTAATATGCTTTTATATCTTATTAAGAACTCTTTAAATCATTTACAATTAAGGTAATAAATCTTTTTAATCTTCTTCTTTTAATGTAGTTACTCCTTCTTTTAATTTTTCTTTAATATAATCTAAAGAAGATGGATTTTTTCCTTATTATTAACCCTTTTGATCTATAGGATTCAAAATAGGTTAAAGAGGTGAAGTTATTTTATTTATTCCCCCAACTTATATTATCCTTGAAATATTACGATCTAATGGATTATTTTAGAATGGATCATCTATTATAGGTACTTGAACCAATTGTTCTTATTATTTAAAATTTTAAATATCTTTTATTTATTTAGGGGATACATAATTTGGTTCATGGATATCAGTAACAGGATCACCTGTAACATCACCGATATTTGTTGGTTTAATAGGTATTAATGTTATCGGGATATCTGGTGGTGGAGGGATTTTATTTGTTGGATCCTAAATGGTTTTTATTGATTAATCATTGCCAGGCTAAATTATTATTGGTACTTTTGGAGGAGGTATAGGTGGAGGTTCGGGTTTGTCTAAATCTTCTAATGACAATAAATTATAGTTTCCATTTTATTATGTTTGATATTATTATTATTAATCTTTTTTAGGTGTAGATGGTGGTATAGGATCGTCCGTAAAATCTCGAAAAGCATCTAAATTTTAGGGTTTGAAAAATTAAAATGATGAATTTCCATCTTAACTAGGAGAAGATGGTGAATGAGGTGGAGATTTATCTTCTTAAAATGGTTATAAATTAATAATTCCTAAAAAATCTGATTATTAGGGACCAGATGGGGGTGGTTGTATTATTGGTTCTGGAACATTAGATGGATCTTTAATTTATGTTAAAGGACTTATTTCTGGTTGTTTGTTTCTATCAAAAATAAAAGGCACATTTGAAATTAAGGGTGGATAAATTATACCCGGTATTGTTGTCTCTTAAAAGGGTTTTACTTAATTTTAATCTTGTTGTTGGGCTTAATCGTATTCGGTTATCTTAATTGTTGGCTTTTTACCTTTTTCAGGTTTTTCGTTATCTTTAATTTCAGAAAGTGGATTAAAATTTTGAGTGGCAGTAATATCATATTTTTTAATTTCTGGCATTTTTGCTATCTTTTTTCCTGTCCCTGGAGGTAATAAAGTAGGAGGTTATTTTAAATTATTTGGTTTTATTTCAGTGTATTCAATAATATTAATTTGATAATTTGAACTTTTAACACTAGAAGCATCATCATCAAATTAACCTTAAAGATTTTTAATTTAATTTTTGTCAAGAAAATAATTTTCAGGTTTTTAAGGTGGTATGATAACATCATCATCAATTATATTGTCATTATCAAATATCTATTAAATAGTAAAGGTAGATTCTATTTAAGGGGATACTATATTAAGCATTTACTTTTATTTAATAAATCTTTGATAAACTTATTCTGGTTCTTTCTTTCCAATAAGTAAAGAATAAATAACTTCTGAAAATATTCCAGCTGAATATTATTTTAGATTTTCAATCTTTTGATTTAGCAATTATTCATTTAATCCATAATAATCAGTTAATTTCTTAGGCAATGTTTAATTATTTTCAAATACTTATATCATCATCATAGATAGAGCCCAAATATCAATGCTTTTTCTAAAATTTTGATTAGAAATATCAACTTCTTACCATTATTCGTTTCTAAAATCTAAATTATCTTCTTGCATAATTTTTTAGTATTCTTAAGGATAAAAGAATATTAAATTATTCTACCAATCTTTTTCAGCTTATGCTGTATATTCTTTTGTAAAATTTTGATAATGTGTTCTTGCACTTCCAAAATCTGTTATAAGTACTTATTTTTTGTTGTATAAGATATTATTTGGCTTTAGATTAGTATGTTCAAATTGAGATTTAAACAAGATACAAGTAATTTGTAATATTTATTCAAATATTTGAGCCTATTCTTAGAAACTAATTGTATTATTGTTTAAATATTGAAATAAAGGTTCAACCTCATCTCCACAATCATATGTAATATAGAGATTTCTTTGATGATTAGATGTTTCAACTGTGTAATTTAAGATTGTTAGAACTTTGTCTGGATATTTAGATGACAGTATTCTCTAATTAAGTAGTTCTCGAATAATGCTGTTTTTCCAAGTAAGCCATTCCTTTTTAGTTTAAAATTATTTTCTTTTTATAACTTTATTATCTCTAGATTTAAATAATTTAGTAAAGAGACAAGATCTTGGTAAAGGTTATAATGGTTCATGAAGTGATTTAAAGGTCTAAGTAGTTATTTCAAAATTAGTATTCATTAAAAATAAAATAAAAAATATGATTAATGAATAGTAAATTAATTATTCAGTTGAAGAAATACTATTTAAAAATGCTAAAACAATAGTTTATAGAGCATCTGATAAATAGAAAAATAATTTTGTAGTGAAGAAGATATCTTTAGAATATAAGAATGAAGTAGAGGTTTGGAAAACTATAAAGGAAAAGTAATACTTTGCTAAATTATTAACTACATTTACTAGTGAACATGAAAATTCAGTAAGTTTAATATTTGAATATTTGCCTAATACATTAGCATCTAAAACATAAATGAATCATTAAGAATTCAAAAAGTATATCTATTAATTATTGATTGCTATTAATTCATTACATAAATAAGGATATGTACATTGTAATATAAATCCATAAAATTGTTTGATTCGAGATAATGAATTGAAATTATATGATTTTAGTTTAACATAAAAGTTAAATGAATAAGGCAAATTTGAAATTATTAATTGTTACACTCCTCCTGAAATTATATTAGGAAATTGGTAAATCTCAGAATATTTGGATATATGGTCAACTGGTTGTGTAATATCTGAAGTATTATTGGGTTAACCTCTATTTAAAGGAACTAAAAGTCTTGATATTCTACTTTCCATTATTAAAATTCTTGGAACTCCTTCAAATCATGAAATTTAATAAATGAGTAATTTTTCAATTACAGAGGCAAATCTTATATAAATTAAAAAGATTTCTTTTCCAGAACTTTTTAAATTTAAATTTGATTATTATATTTTAGATTTGATTAGTAGAATGTTAATTTATACACCTAAAGATAGAATTAAGATAGAAGATGCAATAAATCATCCTTTCTTTTAATCTGATCCTATACCTTAGATGATACATATATCTGATATATATTAAACTTCTGATTAAAAAGAATAAAAAAAAGAGATCATCGATTATGGAGAATACGGAACTTTTAAATAATTAAATAGTTCCACTTGAATTTTAATTTGATTATATTCTGATAATTTATAATGATATAATAAAATAGAGGAGGACCCCAAAAGAAATATACTCTTAATCTACTCAATTCTGCAACAGATTATATTGATCGTATCTTATCAGAGGTGTCAGGTATATATATGAATTGATAAAAGGAATGAAATGTCTCATTTTGGATTAAGAAACCATAGGCATTATTTCACTTATCTATTCTCAATCCTAAATCTTAAAGAAAGATGTATATTTAATGGAAAAGATAGATGCTGCTGCTTCTACTAAATAAAAACTTTAGCATATGAAAGTTATCTTTTTGATTAGACCAACTTAAGTAAGAAATATATTTCAAATCTTTAGGAAAATTAAACATTGCTTCTCTAAGAAATTAAAGACAAAAGATTTTGTGAATATTATATCTTCTTTACCAATACACTAAGCAATTTTTATATAGAATAATTGGCAGAAGCAGATGATTCTGATCTCATCAAATAACTCTAAGAAATCTATTTAGATTTCTATATAGTACAACCTGATACTTTTACATTAAATATACCCTCTACTATTCCATTAACTAAAAGTGCTTCATAATGGAATTCCTAAGATGAATAATTATTTTAAAGAGTTTTTGAGGGATTAAGTGCTACAATTTATAGTTTAAGAAGAATTCCAATGATTCGATATTAAGGATCTAGTGAAATATGTGCTAAATTAGCTTAAAAGTTAAGTTAAACAATGAGAGAAGAATATGAATAATCCTAATCTTAATTTATGCTTTCAAATTGTTTACTCTTAATTTTAGATAGAAGAGAAGATCCAGCTACTTTATTATTGAATTAATGGACTTATTAGGGTATGCTTCATGAATTGATAGGAATCTAAAATAATAGAATTGATATTCGTTAAGGTTAAAAAGCATTGAATTAAGCTGCTGTATAATATTAATAATTATAATTAGAGTATTAATAAAGCAGATTCAGAAAATGAATTTGTTATATCTTCTACTTTGGATGATTTCTTTGCTGAAAACTAATATTCAAATTTTGGAGAATTAGCATAAAATATTAAAGATTTCATTGATAAAGTTACTTAATAAAAGAAAGAAACAGTGTAAATTAATTCATTAGAAGATATGTAAAAGGCAGTAGATAAGATTCCAGAAATAAGAAAAATGAGTGGCAATTTATCCAAACATGTTGCTTTAAGTTGTGAATTATCAAAATTAGTTGAAGAGAGATAATTATTAAAAGTATCTAAAGTTGAATAAGATATTGTTTGTAATGAAGCTAAATCTGAACATTAAAAAGCTGTATTTTAGATGCTTGAAGATAGAACTATATAAACATATGAAAAATTAAAATTAGTTATGTTATATGCTTTAAGATATGAAAATTGTGATAAGATTTCAAGAATGAAAGATATATTGAGGGATTTAGGTGTAAAAAATAACAGTTTAAATTTAATTAATTACTTATTGGATTACTCTGGTAAAGCTAAACGTTAAGGTGATTTATTTAGTGATAAGAATATATTTTCTAAAGCTTAATAAAAATTTAAATCTGTATTTAAAGATGTTCCTAATATTTATACTTAACATTAACCATATTTTCTTACTATTTTAGAATAAATATTAACTAATAAAATTAAAGACAATGAATTCCCATCTACTAATTTAAATAATTTTAGAGAAAGACCAACTGAGATTATTATTTTTTATGTTGGTGGTATATCTTTTGAAGAAGTTAAAGAAATTGGATTATTAAATAAATAATGTATTAAATTTATAATAAATATATATAGCTAATTAACCAAATATTTTATTAGGTGGTACATACATTCATAATTCAAGAACATTTTTAGCTGAGATATGTCAATTATCATATGAAAACAATATTGAAGTAGTTGTAGATAAGTCTAATCCTAGAAATGATAATAAATTTCATAAATTTTGATAGGAATAATAATATTGATATTATTTTAAATACACATTAAACTCATCAATAAGTATTATTATAATTAAACAAATAAAAAGGTTACTTATTTTTTAAATGACAATTCATATGATTGTTTTTTGATTGTTAAATCATTTGTTTTAATATACAACAAACAGGTTTATTATATCTAGAGAAGAAACAAGGTTATTCACATTTCTTTGCATTCAAAATAGCACTATATCCAAAACTAAGAGCATTCTATTTAATAAATAATATAAAATACTTTAATATTCTTAATCTTAAAAGTACTACTAGCTATATTATTACTTTTATTATGGAGATCTAAAATAATTAATTCTTAATATCCTTAATCACTAACTATATAATAAAATTTCATACAATTAAAAATATTGCTATTAATAAATATTTGGTTCATCAATTTACATATTTTCTGATTATGAAGGTACTATATTGATTATTTTATTATAATAATCTATATCTTAACTATATAGATCAAAGAAATCTAAAAATGTTTTACCAATTTCTTCATTTTCATTATCTCTAATTCTTTTAATTTACAACAAAGCTAAAATCATAGTTAATATACAATAACTATTTAAACCACCCTAATTATATTAATCAATACTTAATATGCATTTAATAGATTTATTGATTTAAAATAGAATTTCAACATTAAAGCTAAACTTTTAAATTATTTAAATTCTTTTTAAAATTCTATCATAGAATTTGCTGTCTTTCTTCCAAAATGATCATTTTTACTAATTGTAATATCAATTAATTTTTCTTAAAATTCTTTAGAACATTACATTTTTAATACAGGTTTTTTAGCATTATCAATAACTTTGACATCCTTGATAAAGCTTGTCATCTAAAACTAAATTCTATGATACTTTAAATTAATCTGCAAGTTTGTATAATAAAATGATCTCTTCATTTTCAACTGTTTCAATAACTATATCAATATCAGAATCTAATAAATTTAATCCAGTTTAACAAGATCCATAAAGAAATGCACGAGATTTAGGTTAAACATTTTAAACAATCTTAAAATTATAATAATAACAATTACTTCATCTATCAATTATACTAATTTATCAATAATTGGTTTCTATTCATCTAAATATTTACTTAATTCTTATGTAAATGTATTTATTTCAAATGTAAGTTATCTAATAATTATAAAATTATATATATACTTAATTATATCATCTAAACTAATTTTATGTTATGGTAATGTATATTAAGACTCAATAATCAATTAATTATAAAATGGTTAATTTATTGATATTAATTCTGGAACCTATATTTCTATTACTTTTTTTTCTTTTAAATCAGTCTAAGTCTCTTATTCTCTTTATTATATAATTTTAACCAACTTTGGTAGAATATCATTTTATTCTTCTTTATTTCCAATTTTCTAAATATTCTCTTATAAATCCTCTTATTTCTTTTTTCTATTTGGAGATTTTGTAAATTAAGTCTCTTCTAAAATTAACAATTCTTTTATTTTTTCATTACAAGCTACATCCAATGGAATTTAATTCAATTTATTTTTCTTTTGAAATAGATATTCCTTTTAACAAATTTATTTGATAATATTTAATTCTCCTTTACGAGATGCTATATGTAAAGCAGTATCACCATTTTCATCTTAACCAGATGCTCCATATTTCTCAATAATTTTAGCTGCTGTCTTATAATTACCTTTAAGTAAAGATTTAATTAAATGTTATGGTTTATCGAGAGATGTAATTTATAAAAGAGTTTCAACAATATCCCAATTATCTTATTCAGATTAGATTGCAATATCAAGTGCAAGTTTTATTTATTTAGTTTCTATTTTCTCTTTATATTTGATTAATTCATTTAAAATACTAATCTTTGCTGTTCTGGCTGCATATACAATTGCTGTATTACCTTAATTGTCTTTATAATTAAAATCAATGGATTGTCTTTAAAATTTCAAAAATAATTACTTTAAAATTTATTGTATACATTGAAAATGATCTTCACTATCTCTTGTATATTGTATACATTCTAAAAAAGCTTATGAATAACTTTATTAATTTATTTAATTCATTCTAATGTATTCCTCTAATTAAACATATAATCCTATCAATATATACAACATATAGAATACCTTAATTTGTTAGTTCGACAATTTTTTATTGATGAATTGATTATTATTGCATTTAGTGCATTTACTTAATTTTAATTATAGCAAAATCTCAAAATGAAAGGATTAATATATAATAAGTAACAAAATTTTATAATTTTTAATCATCAAAATTTTATTCAGGATTCTTATAAAATAAGAGTCCTTTATCCATTGATTAGAATATGAGCAAGTTCAAAGAGTCTCATATTTCCATCCAATTTCTAAGTCTTTACTCTGCCAATTAAGATTGACAAATATGGAATTTTTAATTTCACTCTATCTGCATATGTTTCATTTATGAGAATACTTAATTCTCTTACTCTAAGAAAGCATGAAAGATTGCTGATATCAAATGTGAACTCAAATTCACATTAATTTTTCAACACTATTATCTCAACTGAATAAACTGATTGCTTTAATATTTGTGTTTTATACCAACTATTATTTTCTTAATGATCTCCACACTTTGTTTTATAGTTCATCCATTTCAATATAAAGAGTTGGACTTCTATTTTTAATGAGTAATTACATAATCTAATTAATATTACTGATTGCTAATTTTTCATCATAATACTACAAATTTTTAGATAAAGATTAATGATTAACTTCATCTTTTGTAGACGCCCTTCTATAAATCATGATGTCCAAATTACGACAAAATTAATTAGATTCATAACTAGTAGTTCGTCCTAAAGTTAAATTAGAGTCTTTAGGTTGAGCATGTGAATGCAACATTTATACTTTTCTCAATATTGAATACTCATTAGTTGCCATTACTTATTTCATTAATTAAAAAAAATACTTTGATGCATTGTTACTGAATTAAGAAATATAAAAATAATTATACAATACATAAAAATTATTTGAATAAAATTAGGAAAATTATGAGACCAAGGAGTCTATATTATTGATATATTTTATCATTTAATTTTACATTATTATAGATGAATTTATTCAAAAATAAAATTATTAAAAATCTTGTTCAACCACAAAATTAGTCTTTTTAAACATAAATTCATATTACATTTATTGAAAGAGTTAAGAAACACATATCTTAATTTTAGTCATTTATTAAAGAAATTTAATTTTAGACCCAAAATATTAAATTATCTATTTTTATTATTATATTATCTATTTGCTAATGGAATTATATTTAAATGAGAATCAATTTATTTTAGAAGATCAAATTTAATATAATATGAATTCTCAATTAGACTTTTCTATTATTAATATATCGAGTATAGATTAAAATTAGTATACTATACTTATTGATTAATATTTATATGTAAGTTTTGATTGATAATTTATATATGAAGATAGAAAATAGATAGTAGATTACTTAATATTTTGACAGGATTTGTGATTAATATATTTATTCATTTAATATATTAAATAAATTAAAAAAGATTTAAAAATGGTATTCATTTACTTGTATTGAATTAGGGAGCCCATAAATCCTTAAGAATGAAGAAAAGATTGATTAAGGCTAACAAACAAAATAGACCCTTACCAAATTGGTTCAGATATAGAACTGATAACACAATTAGGTATTTGCATTATATAATTATATAGGTATAATTCAAAGAGAAGACATTGGAGAAGAACTAAGCTTAACATCAATTGAGTCTTGAATTATATAATTCCATGTATAGAATAAACATGAATGTTAAGAAATTAAATTCAAATACATCATTACAAGATTGTAGAAAATACTCAATTAAATTCCCCACTTATCTCTTATTAAAACTCTAAAGTTGATGGACATTTAGTGAGTTCTCTTATTAGCATAGTTGCATAACTACTTTTCTTTAATTTGAATTTAATCAGCAAACCTTAATAATCTCCTTGATCAATGAGTAATTCTCCAAAAGAATCAACAACATCTTAATCTTTATTCTAATATTTGAATAATTGATGTTCAACTTCAGATGGAATTTAAACCTAAATAAATTAAATGATATACAAAATATCTGAAATTCCCATCAATAAAAAATTTATTTGATGCATCTTCAAAATCTTATTTAGTAATTTATTCCATCTAAAATATTTATTATAATAAAGTAGAAACAATAGATTCTTCTGGAATAGTGATTTTATGTCCATAGATTGGTAATACAATTTAATCAAAAGTAAATTGTGAAATATTCTATTCAGTCACAAGAATACAAGCTGATATTGTTTAATTTTTCTATTATTCTTCATCTTCTACAATTTATTAAATTATTTCCTCTCCTTCTTCTGCAACTCCTTCATCCATTACATTAGCACTTACAATATCTCCTACAACTATTTTATTTCCATATTAATTGAGTCTCATTGATGCCATTTTATTCCAAATATAACTTTGATATGCATGTAGATATAATTCTCTTGCATTTCTAGGAAGAGATTATAAAGCTGTGAAGTAATTATGAACTCCATTTTATAATAAACTGTCTATTAATTATTTCTCAATTCTCAATCTTGGATTAATTATACTTGATAATGTAACAAAATCATCAAGTTCAAATAATTGATTGACTCTTTCCTCATCTTCTTATTATGATGATAATATAATTAATCTAATACATTCCTTCCAATTCTTTCTAATTATTTCTTTACCTATTTAATGAGTCTTAATTTTATTTTTAGATCCAAATCTTTGTAAACCAAAATAATTAACAAAACCATGTAATTTTAAATTTTCAATATTCTTTGCTAATTCCCATTATTGACTTTATGTTAATTCATTAAGAAATCTTAAAGTGATAATAAATTTATTTCCTTATAATTCTCCTAATCTTATACCTTAATCTTAATAAGAGTAATCTGACATCAAAATATTTTAGTTCCAAAACTTTCTTTCCTATATTTCTATTAATTAAGCAATTTCCATTCCTTAAAGTGTAGCCCATTAAGTTGTAACACCTCTTTTATCCTTTGTACCTGCAATAGCAAAATGCTTATTTGATAATCCAAGTTATTTTGATATAAACATTCCTGCATTGATAGAATCTATATTTCTTTTCATCAATATAAATTTTACAAATTTCTTACTTTCTCCATAAGCTTTACTTGTTGTCTAACTTGCAACATATTTTTTAAAGTTTATATTACTAGTCTTAATTAATATATGATCTTAAAGTGTTTATTCTTAAACTTTTTATAGTGTCTACTCCTACAATTTTTCATCAGCTTTATCTTATTTTTTTTCTACTTTAGGCTTTTAATTGTGGATATTTTTAGTGAAGGATTCAAGAAATGGAATATTTTATCTAATCAATTAATGTACTTTAATTCTATCTTCTTTTGATTCAGGTAATGCAACTTTAGTCTCAAATTACACACATTTACCAGTGGTCTTTACCTTCTCCACCAATTATTTAAATTATTCAGTAACCTCTAATCCAAATAGCTAAGTTGATTATTAAAGAAATTCTTCAGATAGAAACAGATTTTCAAATGGTAATGTCTTATTTTTTTGTTATTATGGATGATCCTACTTTTAATCAAAATTATGCCATTTAGTTTTATCTGATATTATAGCTAATTAATTTTTGAGATCAATTTCTTAGACTATGAAATCAGTGAAACGATGTTTGAAAATACATTTAAATGGCTATCCGTCTTGAAGAAATGATTCAATTCCAACTGCAGATTCCATAAATAATTATTTAAATTAATTATCATCATTAATATATAAAATAATATATGGGATACATAAAAAATAGGATGAACATAGAAGAACTATAGAATGTTAAAAAATATAAATAAATTGCAAACTATATTTTATTATATTGTACATAAATAATGCCAAATTTTATTTTTCCTTTGCTCTACAGAAATAAGACACTTTAAAATCATGTTGTATAAACAATGATTGCAAATGATAATGTTTTAGTGACTGGTGGTCAACATGGAGATATTGTAATTTGGATGTAGAATCTTAATCCAAGAATTGTTATCTACCCAAACCTTTCAAATGCATATGGAAAATTAATAACTATGAATTTAGTTAGAATGTCATTTCTTAATATTTTAGATAGAGCAGAAGAATGCATACTTACAATTCATGAGGATAAGAGAATAAGAATATTTGATTGTCATGATGGACGTTGTGTTGGAATATCAGCACATGATAGTGCAGGACCAATACAATACTGTATTCCTTTAAGTTCCAATAATTGCAGGTTTTTGATGTTAGGAATGTAAAATGGTTTAAGTCTTTTTGATCTTTGGAAAATGAGAAGTGTAAAACAATATGATTGTAAAGTACGTTCATTTTGTTAAATTGATATTAATACTGTATGTGTATTCGATTAGGAAAACTAGTTACATTTTATTAATTTGTCTCCTCTTAATAATGAAAGGTATTTGAATTATAAGGAATTTAATAAGAAAAAAGATTAAATAAAATTGGATTTTAAGGAACTAAAATTATGTGATGGATTAAAGAAACTTAAAATTGAAGGTATTTCATGTAATCGTATCAGATATATGAGTTTTAATTAAGAATATTAACATTTGACTATTTTGATGCATAGATAACTTTATTTGATTTTTGATATATTTGATACACCATGGATTATGTGTATAAGTTAATCTAAAAATAATTAAAAGTTTACTAAAATTCATTATTCAAAAGAATATCTATATATAACAACAAGAAATGGAGGTCTTCTTGGTTTGGAATACAAAGATATAATATATTTATTATCAATTTTAAAGGAACAAAGTGATTTTGTTTATGGCTTTAAAGAGTTTTAATTTACTAAAATAGCAGGTACTTAATTCAGTAGACTTTAAATTAATTTCTAAGAATTAATATAAGGTTCTGAAATTTAGAAAGAGTTTAATGGTTTATATATATTAAAGAATCTTGTTTATTAATATAAAAATTAGTGTTTATGTAAATATAATTTGAATGATGTAAATTTGGATATGTCATTAATTCGTATTAATTAACCTGATTCAGATATTAAATTTAATGGATTTAAATGGTCATTCAACACATTTTCTGATTTAATAAAGATTGAAACATTAAAATAAGGATGTAAATAAGTTTATGCATTTGATTTCACAAAATTTTATAATGATGATTTGATTTGGAATTTAGGTTAAATAACTTCCTAATAATTTAAGATTAAATATTTACCATATATAAATATTGAAACATAAATAAGAAGTGCATTTATTAGTGTAAATGAGGAGAGTTAAATTTATTGGTTTGGTTGTAGTAATGGTATCATATTTGGATTTCCAACTACATATAATAGTAAATCATATTTTATTTACAGAATCAAAATGGATGATAAAACAGTCACATTTATTTATTAGAAGGGTAGATATTTAATTGCAAGTTCTGAAAGTGGATAATTTATAATAATGGATTATAGTTTAGTATTTAATGAGAAGATAGGAGAATAATAAGTAGAATTCATAGATTTGGAACCATCATAGAGAATTTATTTTCCAAGTTATGCAAAAAAAACAATAAGAATTCATAAATTAGAAAATGAATCTTATGAGGAAATGTAAACAAATAATTAATAATAAAAATTTTAAAAGATTGCAATTTTGATGGAAAATAATGTTATTATTATAATTAATTTATAAGATGGAAGTGTATCATTAAAATTACATGGAATAAATCAATAAGTTTTAGGATTATATTATGAAGATTAAGGAGATTAATGGTTTGTTATAGTTTAAGGAGGAGAATCTTTAGTATTTGATTATAAGGGAAGATATTTGAGAACATTAAAAATAGAATAATATCATTCATTATTTCAAGTAGAAAAGAAATTAAATAAAGTTAAAGATAAAATGATAAGTCATCATCATTTAAGTGAATTTAAAAGAGAATTTAATAAATCTATAAGCAAAGTTTATTAATTATTAGAATTTCAATAAAGAAATAATTATATCAAAATGTAATCTCCTTATCCTAGTTTATATGAAGTAGGAGGATAATTTAAATAATGGTAATTTGAGGCTGAATAAGCAGCTAAAATGTTATATTTAATAGATCATAATTCTGTAAAAAATAATATGAGAATGTGTAAGTTTGTTGAAACAAGTATAGGTGAATTAGAATGGTGGGATTTAAAAAAATAAGGAGATAATCATAATTAAAATAGATTATTTTTAATGTTACATCCTTGGGAGGCTGATGCTCAATTAAGTACATAATTAGATTAGATATTGAATTATTAAAAACCAACATTCTCTCCTTTGATTGGTGTTTAATCAATGGGTTATTGTGTTAGTTTTGCATTATCTCGTGGCTGGGATGTTTCACCACATTTTACTTCTTAAAGAGCTATGTCATTAATGCATTTCTATTTGTCTTATTTATCCAAAGAGGCATAAGTATTTAATTAATTAATGATATAAACTGTTGAATTGTTGACAAAAAAGAAATAATTATTAGATTTAAATTTTAAGTCTATGGATTTATTTTTGTTAGCATAATACACTATTGATGAATCTAATGAAGTCATGAATGCCGCATGTAATTTAATACTTTCATAAATTAGAAAGTCTGATTAAGATATGCATGAATAGCATAAATTAATTAGAGAGCTGTTAGATTTAAATAAAGAGCAGAAAGGACATGCTTTTTCAAATGTAGAAGTAATACTACTTATGTTAGAATCATATTTAACAGGGATGTGTTAGACTCTTTAATAAAGTGAAGATTAAAAGAGAAGAGTGATTTAAGGATTACATCTCAAAAATTGTATTGTAAATCCTCACCTTTGTGCTCCTCTTCTAAAAGTCTTTATTGATGTCTAATAACATTTTAGAAATTCATACAATCCATAAGAAATTTTAAAAAATCTATTTTTCATCTTTTTTCAATATAATACTGTAATAGATTATTCAGAAATTCTAACTTAAGGTGGTTAATAAATGCAATTAATTAATTTATTAAAAGAAATTAGTAAGTAATCAGAAGATATGAAAAAAAGAATGAGACAACTAACTGCTAAAAGTATCATTTAAGTAGCCATATCAGCTCCATTAGAATTTACTAAAATCTTAAATAAAGATATTGTGAATTTAGAAACTCATTTTTTATATCCTTCATCTATAATTGAAATCATTAGAAATTACATCAAATCATAACATAATAATATCCATAAACAATTACCATCTCTTATGGATATCATTCTAAAAAGTCTTGATCCAAATAATCCTAATTTAAGGAAAGTTTGTCATAGATCTGCTACATATGCTTTGTAAACTATTTGCAAAACCTTTAAATGTGTTTGTTTCCATCAATAAACTTAAAAAATAGCTATTGGAGATACTCAAATTATTATCTATGACTTGAGAACTGCTGTTAAATGGAGAGTCTTGGATGGACATACTGGTTAAGTTAATTGTCTAGAATTCGACCATACAGGTAAATAGTTGGCAAGTTTTAGTGATACTGATTGGAAGATCAAAATATGGAAAGTTGGATCTACAGGGTATGGAGATTAAACTATCTAATTAGATTCTTTGGAGCCATTATCGGTATACAAGGGAAACCAGCTAAAGATATAACTGTTAAGTAATAGCCTTTAAATCATCCCTAAATCTAATGGTCATAAGATGATAGCAAAACATATTTAATGTCAAATGGACAATTAGTTGTACAATGTCAGGTATGATTAACAAAATAATTAACGTATTAGATATATATATATAATTAATAAAATCTACTATTATTTCAATATTATTATTATTATGAATATTGATTCCTAATACATGGAATTTCCTTCATTACAAAATCTTTTTTTGTCATACTTACAAATTATTTATCAAAAGCTGGAATTGTTTATATTGGCTATATTTATATTATTTCAATTAAATACCTCTTAAAAGTTTTTAACTTAAAAACATTTTTCAACAATTTTTTAATCATGTACCAATTTATTTTATGATTATCCTAAAAATAGGTCTATCGTTGGAAAAGGTTTACCATTTGGTGGTTTTTGACTCTCTAATGACATATTTATCAATTACAGTTGTGTCTACTTATTTTATAGTCTTAAATTCGCTGCCATATGTTGTTGATGAATTAAATTTTAATTCTGGAATCACTGTCTTATAATGACTTTGTTTAAATTATTCATGATGTAAATCTCCATAATCCATATAAAATTTCTAATTAACATTAATAATTTATACATTATATGATGTCATAGGAGTGGATCCATAATTGGCTTAATATTTTTATTTTTCAATAACATAATTTGGAAAGGGATCACATTATTTATAATCAGAAGCCATAGTAGTTTTAAATTCATTCAAATCTAAAGTTTAATATCTACCAATAGAATTTAAATTCATTTTGAGTTCTTAATCTTTCATTTTTGTTTCTTTATACTCTTAATTGTAATGGGATTTCCATGAAATATTAGGTTTAAATGGTTAATACTCAAATTTACATTTACATTTTCCACATGGACATTAAACACAAATGCATTTCCCTATCTTTTATCTTTTAATTGTATACCTGCCAAATGCATTACAAAAGCTTAATAATCAGATAAATGCTATTCAACCATGCATTATATATGATCATTATTATTTTCTTCAGAAGTTTGAATTTACATTTGTTCTATTTATTCTGTTTACATATTTTGATTTTATTATTCAAGTTGATTGTGTGTATCTTATTAAGTATTCAATTAGAGTTCTGGTTCCTTTCTTAATGTAGTAATATAATTATTTTCTTATTCCAATCTTGGTAATGATTATGATAATGATTAATGATGTTTACGACCAATATTAGATGAGGGTGTAGGAGGAAGTGGAGTTGAAATGGTTTATTAAAATTATTCTAATGGAATAGCTTAACTGCATCCTTTAGTTTTTATCATAATTCTTTTGCCTGGTTTAGATAATTTGGAATTAGATGAAGAAAATGTTTATCTGAACAGTTGCATTTCTTTATGTTTTTTTTAAAGAACAGTTTATCGTTCAATTTCACTTAGACGACGTTATTTATCAATGAAAGATTCTTTAACATCAATTGAGTAATGACCTTGTTTAGTTTTGAGTTTTTCGATTATATGTTCAGGAATCATAGTTTTATTAATAAAAAAATTAAAATAATCTTTTATTTCTTGATTTTTAAGCAATGGTAAAGATGAATGTTTTGAATGATTGTTTACGTTCAATAGTAAATGCTGAAAGGTTAATAATGAATCAAAATATGATTTTAGATAAGGAAGAAAACAAGTGTTAATCAGACCTACATCAAAATTAGTAGTGAAATTTTTATAAGTGATGTAAAGACATGGCTATATTGGAGAATTTGAAATTGTTGATGATCACAGAAGTGGCAAAATAGTTGTTGAATTATTAGGTATTTGCATAAACCTATAAAAAATAGGTCGTATCAATAAATGTGGAGTAATATCTCCTCGTTATGATGTTACTTTAGGAGAATTCGAAAGATGGGCCAATAATATTCTTCCTGCTAGATAATTTGGATGTGTAGTATTAACTACTAATGTTGGAATCCTCACTCATGAAGAAGCAAGATAAAGACACATAGGTGGTAAAATCCTTGGGTTCTTTTATTGACATATTTGCATCAGTACATTATATATTTAATATTTCTTCAATGAATAATAGATATACTCATTATCCTTTTCTTTACGAAATAGATTGCTATTTGCTTACAACATTTTCTTCAATCAAAGAATCTCCAACATATTCATTCACTCTCTTCTTTAAATATTCATTAACTGTGGCTATCTTTTCTCTATATATCAATAGAGATTCCTCCAACAATTAGTTCTCTTCATGTCTCTTTACCTTCTCTTCATTATACAATTTCTTTTTATAATTGTACTCCTCTACATCTCATTCCAAATCATTACCTTATGTTAGACTCAAAATTCTCATGCTTTATTCTTATAACTCTTTCTTCTTTATTAATATGTCAGATGCCAATTCTTTATCATTTTGTAATGAATTTAAGAACTTAGCCTTTGCATCATATTCTTATTTTAAAGATTCTTATTCAGCCAATAAATTTGTCTTAAAATCTGCAAAATCATTAGCTGATTAAATCTCCTACTCTTCCAATCCCTTTACAGTCTCTCTCAATTTCTCTATTAACTATTAAATTACACCTACTACATCTTTTGTCATCAATTATACTAATTATTCTCCATTATCTCTCTTTCCTTCAATAGATATATAATATTACTTGATTAAGAAAATGAACTTTCATCATCACCCAATTTCACAAAATCTTATACTGCTTACTCTTCAAATAAATTTGCATATTTGCTTAATTTCTCAGCATAATCACCTATATGATTTTTCTCTACTAAATTTGTTTATTTGCTTTATGCATCACTTCTAACCCAATCCAATACCGAAAGTGCATTTTTATATTCTCTTAATGTATCAATAAATAATGCATTAGCTTCACAACGTTATCTAATTATTTTTAATTACTATTATACTCTGCTAAATTCTCTAATTTTACTTCGTTTCCCTTATATCTCTTATTATTCCAATTCAAATAATCTGTTGTTTGTTAAATCTTAAGACTTAATTATCATATAAAATCTTTACTCTACAGCTTCTAAATCTTATTGAGCAGCTGCTGCACTCTTTGAATTCACATTCACTATTCCTGAAAACTCATTAATATCCTTTAAAATAGCATTCTCAAATCTCTAAAATGTTAAATCTGCCTTATCTTAAGCTTCTACATTTGCTCCTTATAAATCTTCTAAAAGAATTAAAACAGATTGAATTGCATCCTAAGAACTCATCACGTTTGTTTTAGAACTCAACAAATTTAAAAAATCTGTGTTGATTTTCTTTGGACTGCAAAAAACACTCTAATTTAACAAAAGAATCAATATCACTCCTGTTATACTTCTCATATTTTATTTTAATATTGCTCTCAATACCGTTTTTATCGATTTTATAATAAAACTCAATTCTCAAGAAACATTCTTAAAACTTATATATAAACACTACAACAGATATTTATCATTTATATTATCTCTGGAATTTCAAATAAATCAATATTTTAAAATATCAATACCTTTAATTTCATATTCATTCTCAATATATATGACAACTATTATTACTAATCAATATTTTATAACCCTGTCTTTAATTTTTTATATCTCTTTAATTTAATTTTTCAAGCTTTTAATTTGAATACATATTAATTCCTGCTATTTAATTGCTTTGTTATTTAATAATAATTCATTAATTAAATTATGATAAAAAATAAGCCTAGAGAAAATCTCTGAATTTTAGTTCTATACTATATCAGAAATCCAAGCTAGGCCAAATTAATATCCCATATACCAATATTGTAAAAATTAATCATATTTTTTCAATACCGGACTTGGGATAACAAAATTTAATTCGAATAATAAATCATCTCTTATTAGTATTCAATTATGTTACCATAGCACAATCTATATTCTAGTACTTCATAGTAATCTTTAATTGATAAATTATATCACTAATATTAGATAAACTACTTTAATTTTAGTGTATGTCATTATCTATTCAATATTATAATTAAAGAATACTAATAACATAATTTATTATCTGCAAAAAGTAATGAAACTTTTCAATTCAACCTTTTAGATAATTGTATACTATATAATTTGTATTTTATGAATGATAGTTATTTAGTTAAATAAATCCTTTTGAATTTCATGAGTTTTATTTTAATTAAGTTTGTTAATATATATTATTAAAATTCCTATTTAATGGGTAATAATGATTTCTAAATTCCCTTGTTAATAACTAATAATATTTATAAAAATAGGTATAGACCATTTTTATTTGATGCATAAAATGTTTTAAAAAAAACAGTAATATGAGAATAAATTAAATTTTTTTATAACATTTTAAAAACTTTATATATATAAGGAATTTTTAAGTTATTGTTAAATTAATCATATCATATTTTTATAAATTCTACAAGGTTACAATCTATTGAAATAATGAATAATGCATTTCATAATAAATAAAATAATGTGATATATTTTTAGGTTTTTGTTTATTAAATATTAAATGAGTAGTTTAGAAGAAGATAATTAATATGATGAAGAATATGAACAAAATATTAATCAAATTAATGAATTTGAATAAAAATACAAGCAGAATTAGACATCATCTGAAGATGAAGAATAATATTAACATAAAAGCCATTCATAAAATAGTAAGGTCGAACAATTACCATAAATACAGTATTAATGATAATATTGCAGTAGACCATAAAATAAAATAGAAGCAATTTAAAAATAATTAGAATTTTATAAGAAACAACCTCCTAAGACATTGGCAGAGGAATGTGAAGAGGTGATCAATTCAAAAAATGAAACTTTAAAGGATAGAAAAATTAGAGAATTAGTCTAGAAGAATAGACAATTATTACTTAGTTATGAGAAGGAAAGACAATCAAGAAAGAAACTTGAAGAACAAGTAAACAAAGCATTAAAAGAAACTGATGAAGGAATTAAAGCATTAGATAAAAGTCTTCCAAAAGCTACGATTCCTAAAGCAGATCCATTAGCAAAAGCATTAAAAGGACCAGAATAATAGAAGGAGGATGTTGGTATAGCTGATGATTTTAAGAGTAAATTCAAAGATGCAGATAAGAAAGTTTAAGAATAGCGTGTTAAATTATAATAAGTTAAAACTGAATTAAATAAAGCAATAAGAATAATATAAAGGGAAGTAGGTGAAAATGTAAATTTAGATTAAATATTATTGGATGAAAATGGATGGAAAGGCAGAGCATAATAGATTGAAATATTGAAATCAAAAGTTAAAGATTTAAATACAAAGTTAGGTTCATCTTCTTAATATTCTGATGTTTCTTAAATGTCTAAATAATCAAGATAAGAATCCAAGAATAATAATGAAAAATAATAATATGAGTTATTGAAATCTCAATATGATGCAGTTAAATAGGAAAATGAGAATTTATTATAAAAGATAAAAGCAGTATCAAGTAGAAAATAAATATTGGAAGATCAAATAAAAGATGTAAAAGCTGAATATGAGAAAAACAAAAAAGTATTTGTTATTGTTATTATTTTTTAGATTTTATTGGAAAAGAGTGACAATGATGACAAGTACATATTCGCATTGAAAACTGAATTAGAAAAATTGAAAAAAAATTAGCCTTAATAAGAAACAAAGATAGTATATAAACCAGCAGATGATGAGGAGACAAGAAAATTAAGATAGGAATTGAAGTATTGTAAAGAAGAAAATAGTCGTAATGAGTAAATGATTAAAGAATTAATAGCAGAAGTATATAATTAATATGATTTTAGAAAGTCAATAGAAGCAAATATGAATTACCTTAGTAATAATAATAATAATAATAATAATAATAATAATAATAAGAGAAAGTATAAGCAAAACCAGGTTAAATAGATGAAAAAGTAAAGAAGTTGGAAGAGGAGATAAAAGTTTTAAAGAGAGAGAGAGATGAATTCTTTAAGACTTTGACTAAGGATGTAGAAACTCAAAAAATGATAAAAGATTTAACTATGTAAAATGTAAAATTGCGTAATAAGATTGATGATTTAACTAAAAAATGAATTTTGTTCTTTATTTTTTAATATTTTCAAGAAATATGATTTGACATACTTGGTTTAACTCTAGATTTTTTAGTTTTCTTTTGATTTGTAGGAAACATTTTTCTAATGAAATATTCATCACCTAATAACATTACTAATCCTACTATAATTGTCAAAATAAATTGCATAAAATTATATGATCTACCATGATATGAATTTGTATCATAAAGTTTTAATACTTTAAATTGCCATTCTTAAAAAGTGAAGAAGATCCATAAAGTAAAGAATAAACTTATGCATATAAATATTAACATAATTTTATGAGTAAAGATTTTTTACTTAAATGGTCTTGAAGTATAAATAGCAATAACAGCCATGATGAAATAAATTTATAAACTTTTAAATTGAGTTGTTTATAATGTTCCTTCTTTTGAAAATTTCCCATCCACTACTCCTGGTTCATTCTCCCATTCTAAACTATTCCAATAAAGAAAATTAATCACTAAACCAAATGAAGCTACAAATATTTAGAAACTTAAGACAGCTACATTTGAAAGTGCCATCATACTTTCATTTGGAAGATCTTTAGTCAATGTAATAGAAGGTTTTGAAAGTGAAATTGATTTAAGATAAGGCAAAGAACCAACATAATTGATAACAATATATTGTAAATCTCCAAAATTTTATCCAAAAGCCATTGTTATCATAGCTGCTATGTATTTTATTACACTGGCTCCAACATAATATTAAAATACTTCTAGTGCATTTTAAAGTGCACATCTTCCATCTAAAAGTACTTATCGAACACAATCAATACTATCATCTGCACTAGAATAAGGAGCTGAATATGCAGCATCACTTTAAGCAAATGAAACACCAACATTTGCTTATTTAATAGCTGCACAATCATTAGCTCCATCTCCTATCATTAAAACCATTTTTTTTAGTTCTTAAAGTTTTTCTATGACCATAGATTTTTATTCTGGTCTCATTCTTGCAAAAACTTTTGCATTTAAACAGATTGATGCAAATAATTTAATATGAAGTTCTTCTTCAGTTAATCCTTATATTTTTATTTATTCCACATTATCTATAGGTTATTCAAATCCAGCAAAGGATTATTTATTATGTTTTTTGGTTTCTTCATTTGGTTATTGACCCCAAAAATAATCAAATGCTTTACCACTCATTGCAAAACAATGACTTGCATTAAGACTATCATTTTCAGTGATAATTGACCTTTTGATATTTTAAGCAGTCAATAAATGTTGAATCAATTTATTCATTATTTGTTAATGATCTAATGTTTATTCATTTATATCTTAAACATCATCAATAAGCACTTCAATTTCACTATTTTATTTTTATTGATTTAAATTTTGATTGTCTTCAAATACACATATTTCATCTAAGGACAATTATTACTAATTAAATAAATAATATAAATACTTCTTTTTCATTATAATCTAATAATAAGACTGGTTTATCATTAGGAATTATTCCACATTCCCTAGCACATTATACAGTAGTTAAAGGATTGTCTCCTGAAATGATTTTTAGATCAATATATGCATTGTTTAATAAATTAATAACTTATGAAGTATCATGTTTTAATTTATTTTCCATTGCTAATAATCCAAAAAATTAAATATCTTATTCACATTCTTATCTACTAGCATTCATTAATCTTTCACTTTCTTCCTAAGTTATTTTTCTGTATCCAAATCCTAATATTCTTAATCCTTTCATTGTCAATAAATTAAGAGTCTTTTTAAAATCTACTGGTATAGTATTTTAAATAGATAATTCAGCCATCTTTTCAGGTGAACCTTTAACAAAAACATAATAATCATCTTTGTCTTTTACTATTACACTCATCCTTTATAAAGCTGATTCAAATTCATAAAGTTTAAGTACATCCAATACAATACCTTCTCTATTTACAACTCTAGATTTTATGTTTTGAGGAGGGTTTTTTTCAATTTTAAAATCTGTAAATTTAAATAATTCAACATCTAGACTATCACCCATTAAATCACCTTCTATTTCATAAGTTCCATGACAAGTAGCAAATAATTTAAATTCTAAACTATTTTTATAATTCACTTAATTTTTTGGTATAAATTTTCCAAATTTAGTTTAATTTCTTAATTAATATCCAAACATATCAATACCTATTGTTGTCAATGTTCCTGTTTTATCAAAACAAACTGTATTAATCTTACCAGCTACAAGTGATTTATTAGGATCAATTCCAAAAATACCTTTCTATCTTAATCTAACTAAAGAATAAGTCTAACACATAGAAACAAAAATTGGTAAAGCTGGAGGTACTATCCAAGTCAAAGCATCCCAAAATCTTAAAAATATTATCATAAAACTAAATCCAACTGAAATAAATCTTGGTAGCAATGCAAAATAAACAACTAAAACATATATGGCCAAACAAATTAAATATTTTATTCCTTAACTATAAAATGGAAAAGGTTAAACTTTTGGATATAATACACTTCTAAAAATCTATCCTTTAAATGAACTAAATCCTGTTCTACCAACTATTGCTATAACATATTAATAAGCAGGTCTTGCAAGTAAAACTTTAGTTCCTTCATATAAACAATGTCTTTTATCAGTCATAAATGAAATTGGCTAATCTAAATCTTCTACTGGAATCTTAGGTATAGGAATTGATTCCCCTGTCAAAGAAGCTTCATTCATTAATAAATCTCCAGATACTAGAACACAATCACAAGGTAATGTCATTTTATTTTCAATTGCAATCACATCTCCTGGAACTAAATCTTAACTATCAATCTTTTTAAATTAAATTCCTAGTTTATTAAATACATCCTCTCCTCTATACACTTATACTTAAGCTAAACTCTTTGCCATTTCTCTCAATTTCTTTGCTGAATTCTATAGAAGCAAAAAGTTTATTGTTGTAAATATCAATGATACAGATATCATTATTATTGATAATATTGCCAAATCTATTTTATTTATTCAATTATTACCTTCTAATACCCATAAAAAACATGATAAATATTACAAAATATAAAATGGGGCTGTTAATTCTTTAACCAAATATACAAACAAATTAGGCTTTGGAATATCAATTAAGCATTTCCCGAACTCTTCTTGATATTACAAAGGTTCTAATTTAATTAATCATATATTTACATGATATTCCTCTGGCTTATAATAATTCTCTTTTGGTCTTCAAATCATATTCAAGAGCTTTAAATGTATTCATTGCACTATCATATATGTACTTTAGTTTTCGATTGATAAAATAAACTTGATTTTGCTTTTTTACTAACTTTGAAATGTTATTTGAATTATCATTATTTGTAATCCACATATGGGTTGCCTTTTCTAATTATGATTCTTTAAAGAAAAACTTTCTAACAAGTTTCTTTGACCAACTACAAGCTAAAGTAAACAAAAAGCTTGTGATGACGGAAAGAAACACTCCAAGTACTATTCTCCTCTTTTATAATCTTATCGGTTCTATATACGTTATTTTTGTTGTCCCTTCGATTTCACTATCAACAACTACTGCACTCTCTGCTTTAGGTAAAAGACCTATATGATCCATTAAATATAATATTAATAATTGTATACAAAAGCGCAGATTCAGATGTTTAAAAATGGTGTAACATTTGAATTAATTATAATTGATTATTGCATATTAACAAACAATAATAAATGAATTATTACTAATAGGTTTGAGATTATATATTAAATAAATTAATGTACATCAGTCTATCCTAAAATAATAAAACTTGGTGGACTCACACATCTCTTGTACCAACAGAGACATAAAATAAAGTGGTATCATTGGTGAATGGAGTGGGAAGCTTTTAGAATAAGGCAACTTTAATTTCAACATATTTGAGTTTAGAGGCAGTCAATCGTATTCCAGTTGCTAAAAAGTTGGCAATATATTTTAAGGCAGGAATTGTTGGTGCAGTATTTTTGGGATCAAGGTAATTTTATCATAATTCAAATTAGAATAGCAGCAGGATCTATTTATTAAAGAAATATACAAGGAGAGATTGGAAAGATACTTGATGGAGCACCAATTTGGGAGAATAAGTTTGACGTTCCAGAATTAGACAAGAAATTCTTCTTTATTGATGATGATAATAATTTTGAACCCTCATTATGGCATCATGGAATGTATGCATTCATAAATAGAAAAGCAACTCAATTGAGAAGCCAAAGGTATTCTACAAACATGAGTGAATTTTAATCATTTAATGGATAAAATTTAAAATAAAATTAAATCTTTAAATTAATAATGGGACGCATGTAAGCCAAGGGAAAGGGAAAGGGTATCTCTGGATCGGCCCTTCCATACAAAAGAAAAGCTCCAAAATGGTTGACTCTATCATCAAAGTCAATTGTTGATCAAATAGTGAATTTGGCAAAGAAGGGTAAAGAAAAAATTGTAATTTGAGGTTTGAATGGATCATAAATTGGTGTTTATTTAAGAGATCAATAAGGAATTCCATAAACAAGATTCTTAACTGGATAAAAGATATTGAGAATCTTAAAAAAGAGAGGTATTAATAGGTAGAATAACCTAAAGGTTGTGCTCCAAAGATTCCAGAAGACTTATATGCTTTAATTAAGAAGGCTGTTCAAATTAGAAAACATTTAGAAAAGAATAGAGGTGATATTACAAGCAAATTCAGATTAATTTTGGTTGAGAGCAGAATTCATAGATTAAGTAGATATTACAGAAGAACATAAAAATTGCCATCAAATTGGAAATAGTAAGCAATAATAATAAATGTTTAGTGTTTCAAAGACAGCATCAGCCTTAATTGGTCAATGAACAATATTTTATACATATAGTACATTGTATAATAATTATATAAATGTTTAATAATGTTGTCCCTTATTAATGTTTAATATTTATGATTAAATCTCAGAATCTGCCACCAAGATATTAGGATGTTGCAGTTAATTTTTCAGTTAAATGCTCTAAGATTCTTTCAACAATTTCTTATTATCTTTATCTTTCTGTGGTTTAAGTATCATAAGTGTTTTCTTAGAGAGCACACCATTCATGTTCAGCATCAAGAGTTTCTTGAGCTTATTCTAATTCCAACTAGTATAGATATAAATAATTATAATTACTTAATGGACTTCGAAGAAATGAGTGGCAGTATCAATATTGGTCTTGAAAGTTTGGATTGATTATTCCAATTAATTCTTTCTATCAACCAATCTATTGTGTTCATTGCTCAAATGAGTAGAGAATTCAGCCCATCTTTAAGCTTATCTATTTTCAGTATCCTATATATATATAATATATTATAATTACTTCTAAAACTGATCTTGCTTCAACTAATTGTTATCTGAGTTATGAAAGCAATTAGAGAATTCTTTAAATAGCTTTTTGATCAACTTTAGTAGCTAATTCAGTCAAAGCTGTAACAATTGGTTAGAATAAAGCACCATGACTTTCATTTTCAATCAATCTCTTTTAAACAGCTTCAAATTTAGGTTTGAGTTCAGCAAAAGTAGCACCAAGAGAAAGATGTTAGACTAATTTAGTTGCTTCATCAACAGCAGCAATAGCATCATCATGCTCTCCATTCTTTCTAACCCATGTTTCATGAGCCTTATTTCTGTTAGCCTCTTCTTGAGCAAATGTTCTTTCATTACTTTCAATATCCTAATTAATTATTTATTATGCATATTTTTACTTAAATTGTTTATCTTACATCATTTTCAGCTTCTGCTAAAGCTTTTTCGTTATCTTCTCTCATTTAAGCATTAGCAGCTACTTAAGCTTAATGATAAGCAATTGAGTTTTCTAAATCTGTGACTATACGAGTGCAAGCAGCTCTATCAACTCTAATAACATTATCATGTTTATTTTAATCATCAACTAAACCAGCTAAAACCTAATTTAACAACACTAAAATTTCTTCTGCATTTCCTTTTGCTTGTAAATACATTTAAACTGTTGATAGAATTGTATTTCCAAAGTTGTCAGCATCAATTTCAGCTAACAATGTCTTTGTATCCTTCTGAACACCCATTACACATGAAACAATCAAGGCTAAAGCGATGAATTTGTACATTATTAAAAAATTAACGAAAACGGATTACTAAATTAATATATTAATCAAAGGTATCTGTAGCCGTAACCAGTAGCTGGACGATATCCACTAACTCTACTAGGACTATATCTATAATTTGAATAAGATGTTGGGGCAGGTGGAGGTGGTGGTAAATATTATGATTAACTTCCATAACCAACTCTACTTTAAGGTCCTCTCACTACATGGCTATTCTATACTGGAACATAATCCACATGTTCATCATATCTGTCAACTGGAATATATTCCACTCTTTTTTCTAATCTAGGAACTGGTACATAATCTGTCTCATGTTTAACTAAACATTATAAATTTATGTTTTAAACCTTCAATATAATCTGTGTATTATTTCTCTACAGGTCTATATTCAATCTTTGTCTCTGGTACATAATCTGTGTATCTCTACTCCACAGGAATATATTCTGACCATTATTCACCTCTCATTGGAGCTCTTGATTAATATGAGTGTGGGCGATCGTAAGGACCATAATAAGCAGGAGTATATTAACTTGGTGGATAAACTGGAGCTGTGCGATCATAAGCACTTTGATAAAATGGTTTGTAGTATGACATTGAAATACTTAAAATTATTTATTTTTATTTCTTTTAACAGAACTTTATTTTAATGTTAAATTTTATTTTTTTATTTAATATTATTCAATATTCCTACATAAATAATAAAAATTTAAAATCATATTTCTATTTCAACTTAACCTCTAAAATTACTTTTACTTATCCTCTTTTTCATGACTTTCATTTTTTAAAATAATAATAACCAAATGAAAAGTAAGATTGTATTTATAAATATTAATAACATAACACATTTTATTTAAAAACCTTAAGATTATTTTGAAAATTCTACTCCAAGATCTAAATTTGATATCATATTTTCAAAATTTAGAGTTATATTACTATAAGAATCTATAGTAGTTAAATTTAATTCATAAGATGAAAACTTTAAAACTTAATGCTTTTATTGTGAAGGCAAAGTTAAAAATGCTATAGATTAATTGTATATAGATAATTAGAATTTCTCAGATGACATTTGATAAATCTAATCAAGAAAATTAAATTCTTGAATTCTTGATATATTATATATAATTAAATCCATCACTGGATAATTATTGTTTTTTATGAAGATCAAAATGTCTGTTGTAAGAGTTATTATTCTTGAAGGAGCAATACCTTATGAATATCTAATTATTCCTAATTGTGATATTAATTCTAATTGTAGTTAGCTAAAATCTAAAAAAGCCAAATATAAATATCCAAATAGACTGGAAGATTAGATTATTAATTTTAATTAAATTTACTAGATTAATTATTATTTAATACCTTATAATTATCACTTTTGTTTAAATTATATTCAATTTCCAAAAGATGAATTTAATATTAAAAGTAAATGATTTAATTACTAATTCCTTATAGTAATGAAAAACTTTTTGAAATTATTTAATCATCTTAAATTGTNTGTTTTAAACCTTCAATATAATCTGTGTATTATTTCTCTACAGGTCTATATTCAATCTTTGTCTCTGGTACATAATCTGTGTATCTCTACTCCACAGGAATATATTCTGACCATTATTCACCTCTCATTGGAGCTCTTGATTAATATGAGTGTGGGCGATCGTAAGGACCATAATAAGCAGGAGTATATTAACTTGGTGGATAAACTGGAGCTGTGCGATCATAAGCACTTTGATAAAATGGTTTGTAGTATGACATTGAAATACTTAAAATTATTTATTTTTATTTCTTTTAACAGAACTTTATTTTAATGTTAAATTTTATTTTTTTATTTAATATTATTCAATATTCCTACATAAATAATAAAAATTTAAAATCATATTTCTATTTCAACTTAACCTCTAAAATTACTTTTACTTATCCTCTTTTTCATGACTTTCATTTTTTAAAATAATAATAACCAAATGAAAAGTAAGATTGTATTTATAAATATTAATAACATAACACATTTTATTTAAAAACCTTAAGATTATTTTGAAAATTCTACTCCAAGATCTAAATTTGATATCATATTTTCAAAATTTAGAGTTATATTACTATAAGAATCTATAGTAGTTAAATTTAATTCATAAGATGAAAACTTTAAAACTTAATGCTTTTATTGTGAAGGCAAAGTTAAAAATGCTATAGATTAATTGTATATAGATAATTAGAATTTCTCAGATGACATTTGATAAATCTAATCAAGAAAATTAAATTCTTGAATTCTTGATATATTATATATAATTAAATCCATCACTGGATAATTATTGTTTTTTATGAAGATCAAAATGTCTGTTGTAAGAGTTATTATTCTTGAAGGAGCAATACCTTATGAATATCTAATTATTCCTAATTGTGATATTAATTCTAATTGTAGTTAGCTAAAATCTAAAAAAGCCAAATATAAATATCCAAATAGACTGGAAGATTAGATTATTAATTTTAATTAAATTTACTAGATTAATTATTATTTAATACCTTATAATTATCACTTTTGTTTAAATTATATTCAATTTCCAAAAGATGAATTTAATATTAAAAGTAAATGATTTAATTACTAATTCCTTATAGTAATGAAAAACTTTTTGAAATTATTTAATCATCTTAAATTGTAATATAAGTAAGGAATTCTGCCTTAAGTTCAAAATGATATAGAACAAATGAATTTTTTTTATTTTTGACTTTTAATATTTAAATGTCCAATATTAATATTTCAAGTTTACCAATATATTATATTGAATTTTGATTTATCATGTACAAAGTCATTTCATAATTACAAATAAAAATAAGTATATCATCAATAATATGAATGTGTTTTTTACTATTACAATTGTAGAATAAGCTCAAAGATGATTATAATTCTGAAACTAAATTATAAATTTTGATTTTAATTGGTTATTATTAATATTGAACAAGATAGTATAAGTCATTTTATTTATGAAAACTAATATCTTATATTTAAGATACATTGATTCTTTTTTTATTCTCTAAAATATTTAATATAACGTAATTTTCTTAAGTATTGATGCAAATAGAATTAACAAAAAATGTGCATTCAGCAAAATCAATGTTATTTATAATTTAAATTGGTAAAATAATAGAATCATTTTAAGATGATATTTTATTAAGAGGCCCAGAGATATATTTTCTAGGGTCTATTAATATTATTTTATTTGCATCTTCTTCCTTCAATTATATTTTAGTTGTGTTTAAAGCAATTAAATTTTCAATACAATTTATTAATGAAATGTTTAAAGTCTAAATTCTTGTTTAAAGAATGTTTGATTTCAACTCTACTCGAATTTTAAGTTAAAGATTTTTGTTGAATTCAAAAAAATACTGAGTTGAACAATACAATTTTATTTCACCAATATTCTATTGATAAATCTAATTTTAATAAATGTAAACTAAACGATCATTGTCAATAAAGTGAAAAGAAAAGTAATCAACATCAATAATTTAAATTAAACTATTTTATTTTTTAGTTTACAAAGAATAAACTAATAATACACAAGTATCATCTGCTTAAGCAGCAACTACCAAAAAATTACTATTTAGTATATAATTTAATGGATATGAATATTCAAAATGTAATTTTTGATATTCTTATAATTTTATAAATTAATAATTAAAATAGACCTATTTGGATAGAGTTATAATATCTTGCTATTGTTCTTCTATTAAATAAATATTTTAGGTTAAATAAATTTTATTAATATTATTTATCTATAGATTATTAAGTAAAATTGTTGTTGTAACAAAATTTTCAAAAACCATTAAAGTGCTTTAATTATAGAAGAATGATACTTAATCATTTAAATAATGCATGTTTCTGCAATTAATTTGCGAAATCTAAAATTTCTAATAAATATATATATTATTTATTACTTTAATTTTTAATTCCACCATTTTTAAGGGCGACTAAAGAGAAAATATCTAACAAGATTCTAAAATGACAATCAATTAATAATTAAAGACTTATACATCTAAAATTTATTCTTCAAATTCCAGTATCATGTATTCAAGAGAAATTGACACTTCAATTGCTAAAATTTTAGTTTTATTATTTTAAATCAATATAATATAGTTTTAATAAGAAAATATATTACTTTATTAAAAATTTTAGAAAGTTCCTAGAAAAGTAAGTTTTTAATGTTTGCATTCTATAAAATATAAGTTTTTTCGTTATTGAAAAAGAATTCCATAAGATCCATCCATAAATTTTTTAATTAAAAACCATTATGTAGATTTTATATATTAACTAATACAAGTTATCTTCTCTAACTTATTATTGCATTGCAATTCTGCATTATTTAAAGGAGTAATATTTGGAATAACTCCATTAAGAATCTTCTATTTATCAAAAGTGATTGAGAAATCTTACTTAATTAATTTTTCAACAAATGAATAATTTTGAAATATTTCAAAAGGATCTGAAATATTCTTTAAAATTGTAACAAAAGTAATTTCATCATAATAATAAAGATTACTAGTTAAAAAACTTATGTTATTCTAATTTTTATATTAATTACAATTAAAATAAGGTGAGTAAGAATTCTATTAGAAAAAAAAGATTTTTGTGGAATTTAATCCAAAAAAAAATTTATTCTAGAAATTAACAATAATTAGCTTATCTATTTTTAAATAGAGTTTAAATGAAAGAGTTGATGTTTCCAAATGTTCTATATAGTTTTCATAATGAAGTATTATTTTATTATTAAGTTCAAAGATTTCTTTAGGCTTTTCTTTTCTAGTAATCAAAATATGAAAACTATTTTTATAATCAAATATTTCTTCATTATTTTATTGTTCTACAATTATAATTAGATTTTCAAGCATCTTAGAACATGTTAATATTTTTCTATCAAAATCTTCATATATTTTATGTAGTTTTAAATCTTTTGTAATTGTATAAATTTGATGATCAAATATAAGATAAGGATCTGAATATCGAATATAAAAGGTTCTTAAAATCTAATCTTAAAAAAATTTATTAGATTTTACAAGCTCTTGTATTTCTTTAAAATCTATTACATAAATAATCCAATTTAAACAATTTATGAATGAAATATATATTTATTTTTCATTATTTTATTAATTTATGGATAATTAACATTCATTATTAGTTTTATTTAAAGAAATAGTCTTAATTGTGTAATTTTAATTCTAAAATTCAAGAATATAAATTATAAATATATTTTCCTACTCACAAATAATTAAAAATTAGAAATATTTTTGATAAATGGAATGGAATTGGTTGCATAAAGGCAATTAAAAGTTGCTTTAAAAAGATATCAAATTAGATGTATGAAAATTATTTTAATTAAAATGCAACTATATTTGAGATCTTTCTAAATAATATTAATTTTGATTGTTAAAAACTTTCAAAATTTCATCTCCTGTCGCATGAATATGAATTAGAGTGTAGTTATTATTCAATTAATGAACCTCAGATATTTATATAATTTCTAAAAAATCAACATTTTCTTTTATTTAATATTCTTTTGTAGTCTCATTAAAAAAAGCAGGATATTAAGCAAATTTGTAAAAAGTGATTTAATTGTCATTACAAAAGATTGACTGATTCTCTTAACCATAAGTAAAAAAAATTAACAAGAAGTGTAATTGAAATTACAATCTTTGTATTTGCATAATTATAATATTATGTAAATATTATATTCAAAAAAATAATTTGATTATCTTTTTAATATATATGATGATGACATATTTAAAGAGATGAATTTTGTATTGCTTATTATAAGAATAATCATGCGAAGAAATTAAAATAAATCTATTAGGATTGAACAAATTATTAAGTTAATCAAATAGAAATAGAAAAAATATTGATCTAAAATAGGATAGAGTATTTCCATATTACAGAATAAATTTATTTAATATGCAGATTTTTATTAGTCAAACCATTGAGTGTATTCTATAATAATAAAAGAATATTTAAATTTAGTAGTTCATTATAAATAAATACTGGATTAAATATTATAAATGAGAATAGATTGGATGTACTTCTTTGCAAATATCTAGTTAAGTTTTGAAATTAATGAGGATCTTTATAGAAAGATTACGAATAGATTAACAGGTTTATTTATCTTATAATTAGATTGAAATTAATCTATTTTTCTTTATTTTTTTGGAACTTAAATGATTTGGTTATAATTATTATTTGATAGATATTTAATTAAAATATATAGTATTGAATGTTAATACTGATGAAATCAGAATTCTTTTTTTAATAATTATAGAATATCAGGAATCTATGAATTAGAGATAATATTTGAATTTATTCTCATAATCTAAAATTTTAGAGATTATGAGAATAATTATGAGGAATATTATTGTATTTACTTTTTATTTAATATTCTAGCATACATTTAGCTAAAACATTTAGTCATCTTATTAGTAAAAGTTTTGAAAAATTGAAGAAAATGTTATGATTTTATGAAAAATAAAGATTTAAATGTTAGAGTTCATCATATATATGTCAAATGACGTGATATAAATAAATAAATAATAAATGATTTATTTTTTTGTTCTTTTGGCAGTAGTAAGTTCTGTTTATGTGGGAACAGAAGTTTGTACAACCTATAATGCAGATGCAGCTCTTTGCAATGCTTCAGGATATTGTAGACATGATGGAACCGATTGTGTTAATCTACCTTGTTATATGGTAAATGAAGTAGCAGCTTGTAGGTCTGGGCCTTCAGGAAGTGGTATTCCAACAGGAGCTCTATCATCTAAATGTGACTCATTAGAATAGTTTAGTTTACAATATGACAATGTTTGTGTTGATAAAGGAGATGGTAAATTGAATTTTGCTTTTGTTCGGTTCTCTAAAACCACAGATGGATCAGCTCTTTAAACAACTGGTACTACAACTACACTTGTTGGAGCATTGGCTGCTACTGAAGCAAATATGTTTGCATTATACACAATAAATCCATGGAAATCTCCTGAAGCAAGTCAAACTGCAGCAACATTATAAACAGAGTTGGAAGCAATATTAGACAGATACATATTATTTTATTAAGTATTAATTGAAACTACAAATTCTCATCCATTCTATTTAGAAAGAACTGCATATTAAGCATTACAATTAATAAGAGTATTATAAATAAAATTAATGATAGGATTAAGTAGGTTTTGATTATACAATGAGAAGAGCAATTCTACCTAAAATATGGTAAGTTGCTGAGATAGCCTTATTTAGAATTGCTAAATTTTCACCTGCTTATTATCAAACAAATTATTATTTCCTCAATTTTGCATCATGTCCATATTCTAGAAGAGAATTAAAGATTAATGGATAATTACACACAGTTAGAATTGATTGGGTTGATTATACATACACTGTAAATGGATATATGTAAGTTTATTCTTATGCTGCTGAATAATTTGGAATTAGAAATGCTCTTTCTGACATAATAGCATTGAGACCAACAACTTCTGTTGCTACAGCTAATGCAATTAATTTAGATACTGGATTTACAGATTTCTATTTAGAATGGACTTGGACTGACACAAATTTAGTTGTTGTTGAAAAAGATATCAAATTATATTAATTTGATGAAAGTGCTGCAACAGCAACTTAAGTTGTTATATAAGTAACTACAACTATCACTTGTACAACTGCTACAAAAACATGTAAAACGGATCCTATAACAACACCAATAACTTCAGCGACTACTAGAATCAATTATTATTTTAGTTATGGTCCTGGTAAATGTGTTGATAAAACTGAAGTTTAATGCAAATTATCAATTGAATAAGGAGCATAATGTAATTATAACGCAGCTTTAACAACTGATTATAAATGTTCCTGATATAATTATTAATAAATATAAAATATTCCAATGATAAGTTTTCAGGATCGATTTAAAGGCAAAATGTCATACATCTCAAAATATGGGATTAATCAATCCCCTGATGTTAAATAAAATAGCTATATTCTGGTATTCTTTTTATTACTATTAAGTAATAAGATTAATCAAACAATAAAAGTCCTTAAAAAATTATTAACTTAAATTCCAAATCTCCTATCAAAAATTCCTATTATTATAAGTTACCTCCCATTAAAAATAAAATAGTAGATAGAACTTAAAATTTTAATTAACAGAAATAATAAATATCAACCAAGAAAATGTATAAATCATAACATATTTCAGTTATTCTGCTGACCATTCAAAGATTAGTTTGAAAAAATATGACAGTGATATTGAAGAAATTTAAATGAAACACTTGTAATACTTAAATAAGATTGAATAATTATATATGCTTTAAAAAAATTGATTAAAATATAATTAAATTGAATGAACTCTTTCACTCTCACATTCAATTCTCAAGATCTAGAATTAAAATACTAAGAAACTCGAAAAGGCTTCACATTACCAGTTTTCAAAGGTATCAGTATTATTAGTCTGGTAATTTGTGTAATTAGAACAATTATTTCCAGTGTTGCATAATAATTTATTTATGCCTTAGTATTTCTTGGTCTTGGAATAGCAGTAATTATTTCACATTTCATAATTAATAAACTTTAAAAACAATGGATCGATTTTTATTTGTTTACTATTAATCATATCTTAATGATTTATTAAATCACTGTCAATAATAGTTATGATTATTAAGAATCATTTATTTTTGGATAGGTAATGATGACCTTACATATTATTATAATCTTAATATCTGATTTTAAATATGCTGTAATTTAAATTATTAATAACCTAATAATAAAAATCTTAATTGCTGAATTAAGTAATGGTGATTTATCTTTAATTACATATTTATATGCTATTTTAATAGCGTTTATGGCCATATTTGTAATTTAAAGAATTAATAAATAATATCGATAGTCGTTCTTATTTATTATCTAGGATTATTAAAAAGGTATAAATTAAATATCTATTGTTTTTTTGTAGAAAAGTTCATCCCATTATTATTTGATAATCCATTTGCTATATTTACTTTCGATTAAAATACTCTAGCATTCTAGGTTGTATAATCTAACTTTACCTAATTTCCATAATTCAACCCTTTAAACAATAACCAAAATAATTTAAAAGCCTTTCTACGCAATTACAAAATAAATAATACTATGAAATTTGAAGATTTTTTATTCAAAAGAACTAAAGAATATACTAATGAAAACTCTATTAATAATTAGGAATTCATATTAAATCATCAAAAATTTGCAAATCAAAATATTATTATAAAACTTTCTGAAGTTAAAGTTACTGAATTGACTTTTGTAATTATAATGGATTAAAAATCTAAACTCATTAAATCTTAATCAGAAAAAATTGAATAACTTTGTGCTTGGATTTAAATTTGCTCTAAGAGTTTCTCGAAATTCTTGAAATCTTAAATGGCTTTAACTTACAAAGCCTAACTTGATTAAAATAAATATGGTAAAATATAAATTAAATATATGCAAATGATAAATAAGTTATCTCATTAAACAGAGAATACACTATCATCTTGTTAGATTTAAATTAAATTGAAATAAATATTTTAATATTATGAATCATCTTATAATATTAAAATTAAATGTGAATATCACATCCAACCTGATTATACTATCATCACAAATAAATAAATACTCAATAAATTACTTTTTGGTTTAATGAAAATTTTAGTTAAAATAAATGAAAAATAAGTTGATTTTATTTTATAAGAATAATCAGAATTTTTGGATATATTTATATCTTTAAATTAATTAAACATATTTAATTTAGAATTAATGAAAAAAAATCAATATAGAAAAGCATTAAAAATACTTGGTCCTTTCGATTAGGCAATATTTACTTAGGAAAGTAAAAATTAATTTTATTATAGATCTAATTATACGAATTTATAAAAATATGGAGATCTTGAAAGATTTAAAACCATTTAACTATTAATGAAAATTGTATTAATATTTATTTGTATTAAAATAATTTTATATCAAATTAATCTTTAAGAGATCATAACAATTATTGGAATTTAAAATATATATTTTTTATTTTTATATGATTTCAGCATGTAGAAATGATAATAAATTTATTAGAATTGTAATTAAATTATATTTACATTATTAATGATTTACCATATTCAAATGTGAATTAAATTTAGATTAGTAAATAAAATTATTAAGTTAATTAAGATTATTTCAAATTAACTTAGAATTAAAAAAGATTAATGTCAATCAAACAATTTTTATATTTTATTACTAAAAATGAAAATTTATAAAATTTGCAATTTAATTTAATTATATTTCTAAATTTCTTTTGACATTCTTATAAAGTTAATTATTAGATATTATATTTTATTCATGGATTAAGATTTATTTAATATAAATACTCTCTTTTGATTTATAAATTTTATATTGATGTATATTCTGGATTAATATACTTCTCATTCTATAAAAATTTAGAAGAATTTGATATTATCAAGTGAATATTTTGATATTCACTATCTATAATATTTTAAAAAATAAATATTTGATTCTTGTGTTGAGAAATGATAAATTACTCTTTGTGATTTATTTTAAATATTTTAGATTGAAAATAAATACTTATTTGATAATGGTAGGATTAATATTTCTAAATATTATTAGTAAGATAGTAAGAAAAGAGAAAAATGATTTTAGTTAATTAAGAGATGTTTAACGTTATATAATTTAAATATAAAAATGAAATTGTAAAATATTCGAACTCTTGATTTCAGCAAGGCTAATAAATAGATTAAGGATCTATCTCATAAATTTCTATAGAGCAAGATGTTGAGGAAGAACAAAGAGAATTTTAATCCAAATAATAGTCATTAAGATACTGCAGCAAAATTATTATTAGAAGCATTACAAAAACCATTATTAAGAAATCTTAGAGAGTTGATTAGAATAAAAGAGTCAGTTGTTTGTGAGAGGAATATTTTTGATGAAGTTTGTTCATTAGGTGTAAGTGAGAATAGTGATATTGGTGAAGGATTCAAGATTTCATTTGCAAATTTAAGCATCAAATAAGAAAGTATAGTTGATTGTGAGAGTATTCAACCTACAAATGCACCTATATTATTGTTTATGGTGATTTAAAATATTAGAAAGAAGAAAATGATAATCTCATTCTAAGAAATCAAATTTTTCATACTATAAAGAAGTTTGAGCTCAGTAAACAAAAGACTTGAATATGCAAAATAAGAATAATTGCGTAAGATTATTGTTAAAAAAACAAAGTAGGAATAATTATTACTTTAAGTATACTTGAAGTATTGGTCACAACAAACACAACTTCTTATATTTTTTGATTATTTTGGTTCAAAAATAAAGAAAATATATAAAAATAGATTGAATAGATATTTAATTACAATGAAATAACAAATAAATAAAAGAGAAGCAGCATAAAATTTAGTTAGGATTATAAAAACAAGATTATTTGAATATGGACAAAATTTAAATAGAGTTAAAAACAATTTGCATTTGTAATATTGTTTAAAGAAGGTGTTTATAAGATAATTGAATGGTCCATTTTAATAAATGCAATTTAAAAGACCTAGATCTCCAGTTATTTTTGAATTAATGAATAAATTTTAAAATAATTTATTGAGATAGAGTCTTAAGATTTTCTAATTAAATGTATTAATATAGAAAAGAAGGATCAAATCATTTACATATGGTTTTGAAGATCTCAATAAAATAATGAATAAATTAGATTATAAATTGGGTTTTATTAAGCTACAAAATAAAAATTAAAAAAAATAAAGTATATTACCTACAAAATATTTAATAATGATCCTTAAAAGAATATAAGATAGGCAAAAACATTGGGTTTTGCGAAAATTAAATTAATGAAATATAATAATTAATATTAATGTAAATTTAACTATTACTATAGTTATTTGAAATATAGGTAATTGGATTTGAATTTCTTGTAATTTTAATTTATTTTGAATTATATTAAGTGTCTCTTAATCCTATAATTAATAAATATATATATAAAAGATTTAATTTGCATCAATGGTTCGACTTGAGAAACTCATCTATGAATAATTAGTCAATATTCGTGCTTTAAAAAGAGAAAGAATAATAGGATCACCAAGAAAATGGTATTCTGAACCACGTACACCAGCAATGACACTTTCAGCAGTCAAATTATTTACATAAGGATGGACTGGATTAATTTACAAATTTGTTGAACCTTTATTTGCAAGGTAATGTGATTTGGAATACAAAACTTAGATTCTTATATAGATGGATGAGAAATATAGGATTAGATAGAGGATTGGCCATGGAAGATTTATTGTTATTTTAAGATAGAGAATTAAGAAGAGATCCATTATTTGAACATATTTAAAGAGAAGGATTCCATCCATATACTTGGATTATGTTCAATAAGAGAAGAGCAAGATTTTCAAAAGTAGAAAGAGGTGTAAGAGGATCTACTGCTCCTGAATGGTTATAAGCAGAAGCAAGAGAACGTACATTGGCTGATAGTGTTGAAAATATTTATGAATGGGATAATTACGTTTATCAAAATTATATGAGTGACATGACACCAACAGCAAGAGGAACAATATTATAGAAATTATTACCATTAGAATGGTTCCTATTTTTTGGTATGTTGAGAGTTGATTCATGGGATAGATATTTCTATAATGAAGTAATGTATAAAGGATTAGAATATTCAAAAGAAGAGTTGGCTAACATTCCTAAACCATTTAAGGCATAATTATGTATAAATTTATAATTAATCAATTTAATTAGCAACTGAAGAAGGAAGAAGACAATTTGAAGTAAATGTAAATAGATTTATTGATCTTTATCCAGGATCAATTGTGAAAGAAGGGTAATTTTATTATATTAAGAAATTTTAGTGATAAATTTGATTTCTAAAGATTTTATGCTCTTGAAGCAATTAATAATAATAGAGATCTCAGCAAATTTGATTCTTCATTGATTGCTTAATTGAAATCAGAACTTACATAATAGATTGTATAAAAAACAAGCACTAAAGTTAAGAAACAAAGAGCTACTCTCCCAAGTTGGTTATAGTAAGATGGTAAAGGATTCTTAGCATGATCTATTACATAAAATATATAATACAAACAAAATTTAACCTCATTTTAAAATATTATAATAATTGGATTAAAATTTTTGTACAATTAATTGAAGAAAGGTTTTCTAATTTTTAGCATTGATTATATAAATGAAAAAATTAGAAGTTAAATAGCATCAAAAATTTGCTTAATTTCATTAACTCTTAGAAATTGATAGTGTTAAAGATTAGATGTTAGTGTCCTATTAATAAGACTTTTAATAATTGAAAAACTTTTATGCAAACATTGATTTTAATTATCTCTAATGGCTTAATGATGTATATAAAATCAACTTTGAACCAATATATAATACAGAAGAAATTTTAAGAAATGTAAAAAATGGATTAAGAAGTGGAGAAGATACTTTAAAATAAAATATAAGGAAGAATCTTATATAATTATTATATTTATAGAGACCAGTTCCAGCTATATTTGTATTTCTTAAGATTTCATCAATATCATTTGAAATTGTATATAAGGAGGACTTTTTAGTAATATTAGATACTATGTTATAAAAGACTAATTTAGATTAAAAATCTGATCTATATTAAAAGATGTATGATAGTTTAATTGAAACAACTGATGAAGAAATAATATTATAAAGTATAAAACTATTAAATAAGAAATTTGAACTTGCTAGTTAATTAAATCAAAAATAATTTGAAGTATTTGATAAGATATCTAATTAATTCAATAAAATTGATTTTTCAGAATCTAAAGAAGTTATTATATAAATTGTTAAAAATTTTCAAGAATTTCAAGAAAAACTAAAAAATAAAAGGTAAAGTTTAGATTAAGTTAAATCTGAAAAATTCCCTTAATTTGTACTTAAAGTTGTTTTAATGTTATTGAAAGAATAATAAATTGTTATTCCTGAACTTTTATTATTTTTATGTTTTAAAGAAACACATGAAAAAAAAAAATCTATTGCAATAAAAGCATAAGTAAAGGAAATTTTAAAAATGTTTGCTATTCCTCGTTTGAAACCATGTTTAGATCATTTAAAAATTGAAGATAGTATATTTACTAAAGGAGCTATTGGATATGATTAATTGTATTCATTATGTTAAAGAGAATATCCTGTATTCCTTAATTTAAAACTTAATGGTGCATTAATATCTTATATTGAATATCTACATTAAGCTACTCATATTAATACTTAATAATTTTTAAATGTATTTGAAAATCCAGAATTTAATGATTTTTTAGAATAAATTTGGAATATTTGTGGAAAAGAGATTTAATAATTATTATAAAATATACTAATTGAAGATTTGGAATATGCAAAATATGGTTCAAATATTCTTAGAATAGGTACATTTTTATATAGAATTAAATTTAAATTAGAGAAAAAGAAGATGAATATAATGGAAAAAGGATATGATGTAGATGAATAATCATTAGAAAGAAGAACATATGGAGTAACTGAAAGAAGTATGAATCCCTTATTTAAAACATTTGTTACTGATTTAGTTCATAGAAAGAAACCATTCCCATTATTACTTAAAACATTAAAAATGGATTTATATAATTTAAAGGTTGGATATAGAATAACTGAAATGAGAGAATTGGTTGTAGATCCAAAATTTAAAAAACATATGAAAGAAAAACATGGTGTTGTTTGGAATCGAGAAGATCCTGATGAGAATTTAGATCATATTATTGCTAGACAATATCCAATTAAGGTAAGTAATAATGGTAAGAAATATGAATTAAATTGGCCTAGATTAATAAAGAAATAAGCTAAATTAATTTATGATAGTAGAGAACAATTAAAAGCTTAATTATTAGATGTTTATGCTAACCAAAATTTCATTAAGGTATATAATGAATT